CGGCGTTATGCAAATCTTCCCACATAGTGACGTAGACATGTGGGGGCGTGTTAGAACGAGCCGTTTTAGGTAGGTGTGGCTGACTCTGAACTTTTATAAAGAATATCTCTTTGGATTTGAGACTTTAGTCTTTGCAACTTTACAGATCTTCTTTATGCACCAAGAGCTTGTAACACTCCAAAGAGAAAGGAAAAATTGAAATCGCATCATATGACCCCTTTAATTCATTTTCAAACATTGAACCATCAAGCTTTTATTTTTCCAGAAAACCACAAGGAACACTCAGTATTCACATCTGAGCTGTAACTGTGTAAGTTCAGTTGCAGAACAAGTCTCTTTAAGTAATTTTGAGTAACCACAGGCCATACTGTACTCATAAAACAAAAATAATATTCTGCTATTCCAAAAACACATTGAAAATTACTGAGGGAGCCTGTGGCCCAAAAATCCTAATTCTCTTTAAGGTTTTAGGACTATGTATAAACTGAATCGTTCTATTCAACCAAGTTAATAAAAAAAAAAAAAAGAATAATTCACTGTTGTATCGGTTAAGAAGACAGATAAGAAGTAGCGAAGCATAAACACTTCATGAACCTTGAATGACTTTTTTTCTGCTGCTGAACACAAAAGAAGATATTTTGAAGAATGTTGGTGACCAAACATTTTTGGTTTCATTGTTTGGACCAAAAAAAAAAAAAAACTAATTTCTTAAAATATGTTCCACAGAAGAATAAAATGTCATACAGTAGGTGTTTGGAATGAAATGAGGGTGTGGCTGAGTAAATGATGACTGGATTTTTGAGTGATCTATGCTTTTAAGGTCTTTGCAAAGTGAGCACTCTCTGCTGAGCCCCATCAGTAACACAGAGACAGAGAGTCCTATATTTAAAATGGGCTTAAAGTAACCACTGACAGGTATAGTTTCTCTAGATTTACTATAAGTATCAGTCCCAGTCCTCTTCTCTGGACACACACACCAAGTAAAATAAACCTCCACCTGTCATTAGAGAGAAGCCAGTGTTCATAAACTAATTATAAAGAATTGTGTCAGTGTCTGCGACCTTTTATGGAAAACTAATTTATTTTATGTAGATTTAGGCTTAAAACAAGACAAATCTGCCTGTGGGCTACAAAAACATACAGAAGCAGCACATACGTCCTCTGAAAACAAGTCAAATTTAATTTAATTTAATTGGTTGTCTGTGACAATGGTCAAATAGACAGCTTAAAGGGGTCATATGATGTGATTTCAATTTTTCCTTTCTCTTAGGGTTTTCATGTTTTTGAATCATCGCCCTGGCCTGACAGGGCATCATCACAATATAGTAGGGGCGTAACATTTCCCGTCACACGCTTGAGGTATTCGGCCAATCACAACGCACTGGATAGCAGCCGTTTCTCACTCTAGCCCCCCGGCCGTTGCTCACTCTAGGCCGCCGTGTGTGACGTTGTGTTTCGTTGTGAAAGCGAAACTACTTTGTTTGGCTTTCCATTATATAAAAACACATGACTGTACCTTTAGCGGTCAGGTCTAGCAGGACGGGGTCACTGCTGGACCTGCGGAGGTGAGGTCTGTGAGGTTTTCTGCTGGAGGAGACTGCGCTGTGAGGCTGTCTGGACTGTGTCGGGGGAGTGGGGCTCAATATGGCCGTCTGACGGCACCTGTCTGAATAAAACACACAAACAAACTACATAGAAACATGTAAACATTTTAAGGCTTTTCACACTTCGGGTTATCTTGCTTCTCGTTTCACACTGCTCACACTGTCAGTAAACTCAACTGAGGGGGACCTAAAGCAATGAGCCGGAGGGGCCCAGAATCCCTAGCAGCACTCCTGCTGCCGACTATACTATTGAGTTTTTCCTAAACTTGATTTATGGACTTCCCTGGACTTCGCTGTAAGAGATCTAGATACATAAGAATTATTTAGAGTTCAGTTAAAGAAATGGTTCATTAGTACTCAGCTTTGTCAACATTAGAATTCTATATCTGCTGGCTGTCTTACTATTGCTTGTATTTTGATTAACTTTAATGATAAGATTGTTTGGATTGTGTTATGTATTTTTTAAATTTGGTCTATTTTTCTTTATTGTTTTTATTAATAGACTGTTTTATGGATTGTGTTATGTACTGTAGTTGTTTAATTCAGAAAAATAGCCTTTGGCTAATTCTGGTATGTTTTATTAATGTGCAATGTCCCTGTTAACTAAACAAATAAAATAAAAAGAATAAAACAGTCTCTTCAATCCAATTCATGTGTTTTCTGTCATCATTTAACATTTTCCCCCCAAACGCTGAAGCGACTGTTCATACAATGTGCAGTGTTTCTGTGACTGTTCAAAGCATGTGAATATGAGGCACACAATTGGGCGTCTGTTGCTAAACAACTAGGTGTAACATTCTAACACAGCATCTCCAGAACAGGGTTTCATAAACCCGGGTAAAAAGGACATTAACCCAGGGTTAAGTGCAGTGTGAAAAGCGCTTTTTTGACAAGTCTTTCTTGTTTTTCTTGTCTATTCATGTCTGTCCAATGTCATAAGAGTAATCTGGCCAAAACAAATCTACTCTATATAGTCAACAAGAGTCAGCACCATCTTAAGAAACGTGCCGTCTAAATCAAGAGATACATACATACATGTATATGTACTACCATTTGGGGTCAGTATGATTTTTAATGTTTTTAAAAGAAGTCTCTTATATTCACCAAGGCTGCATTTATTTGATTAAAAATACAGTAAAACAGTAATATTGTGAAATATTATTACAATTTAAAAGAACTGTTTTCTATTGTAATATATTTTAAAATATAATTTATTCCTGTGATGAAAAGCTGAATTTTCAGCATCATTACTCCAGTCTTCAGTGTCACATGATCCTTCAGAAATCATTCTAATATGATGATTTGCTGTTCAAGAAACATTTCTTACTATTATCTATGTTGAAAACAGTTGTGCTGCTTAATATTTTTGTGGAACCATGCTACATTTTTTACCCCGGGATTCAAAGGAACGACATTTATTAAAAATAGAAATCTTTTTTTTTTATATTACAAATGTCTTTACTGTCACTGTTGGTCCATTTATTGCATTTTTGCTGAATAAAATATTAATTTCTTAAAATAAAAAACTTACTGACCCCAAACTTTTAAACAGTAGTTTGCACATTAAAAATGTAGGATCTAAACCTTGAAAAAAATTACCAAGTTTTTGGGATTTTAAAAATCTAAAATGAAGAAAAGGTTGCATGAACATTAGGTTTGGCAGAAACCTTTGGCGTTCATGCAGTTCAAGTTCTGCTTTCATTAAAGCAAAATAGATACAAAGATTTTCAGTTCAACATTTTAAAATTATCATGTTGACATAATTGATAATGAAAACATACTGTATGTATGAAATTAGAAAAATGCAAAAGAAGCATTTTGAGGAGTGACAGGTCAGGTGTATACATATGTTTATTGTGACTTGTGAAGGATCATTAAAAACATGTAGGACTATGCGATCTTTGAAAGTGTTGAAGGATACAGACAGCTATAAAAAGAAAATAAATCCCTAACCGAGGAACACTGGAGATACAACTGACGCCACTAAAATACATTTCCTTTAATACACAGATGACATAATTATGGACGGGTACAGTGAAACGCTGTAAGAATCTTGATTAAATATAAAATACCAGAGGCACTGGATTCATATAAGCCGTGTCAATGACACATTTCATGTAGGCCTAAGTGGCAGTTCCGTTTTCTAATTCCAGACTTTCAAAAGGGAATTTTCTATTTGTTGATTATAACACTTTTACACCTAAACTGCAATGTTTTGAAAGGTGACGTGTCTTTTGTTCTGTTAAAATACTTTCTCCTGTCCCGGTTAATGTGCAGAAACAATTGCAAGTCTTAAATGTCATTGTTTATCAATACTGCTCCTCCCCACAGGTCTATATGTAAGAATACAACTGGTTCATACCATCGCCGGGCGTCTCCGTCTCTGCACTCTCTGTCAGGACCTCAGTCAGATCGGTCATTTGCACCTCAGTATTCTGGGCCTGATATAAATACAGAGGGTCAGTGAGCGGACAAGGACTGTATTTGATTGAGCTGTTGCCAATGTAAGCCAGGTAGACCACAGTGCCTTGTTTGCTGATGTGAGGTCTAATTCACAAACTGAGTTGAAATGGTATCAGGACAAAATACTGTAAATGTTAACTGACGTTGATTTTCATTACAGAGATAATTATGTGATAGCAGATGGCATATGATAACTGCATAAATCAGTACCTGTGCTGCTGGCTCTGATGCAACAGCTTCATAAGGTGGAGGAGGGTCTAGAGGACAGAAGACCTCCACTCCTTTCATTCTGGCACCATATATATGAGGAAGAGGAATCATACCATCACCAAACATCCTGCCAAAACACACAAATTCACACTGTAAACAGCCCACAAGAAGATATAACGACAGTAAACAACTGTTTCTAGACAAACCCCATTAATGTTTGATCAGAAGTGGGAGCATATCATGCTTTCCCACACACAAACTTCAATCCTGTTTTACGTTGCCAAAACATTTTGGTTGCCCGCCAAACACTGAGCCACCCACCCACAAATATGATAAATCCTGCTGTATTTTTGCTTAAGAGTTCAAGGTCAAAGTGCAGGTTTGTGTGTGTGTGTGTGTGTGTGTGTGTGTGGGGGTGTGTGTGAGAAACACATTTAAGCAAGCTATAGATCATGGAATGCTGGACAGATTTTATCAAAGTAAAAAGTGTAAAAAGTGAAAAATACAGATGTTACCTTAATAAATATTTTTACCTGATCTGACACACTACCATTTAAACGTTTGGGACTGTCCCAGAAAACGAGTACTTATGCAATGTAATTATTTCAGTTTTTAATTTTTTTAATAATTTGCAAAGTTACAAACCTGTTTTTGCTTTGTTATTATGGTGTATGGAGTGTAGATTGATGTGAAAAAAAGTCATTCAAAGCAGTTTACCATAAGGCAGCAACATAATAAAACATGAAAAAAATTAATGAATACTTTCGCGAGGCACTGTATTTAATTATGTGTTGTTAAGAATAAACCCAATACAGTTATAATAATTAAATTAAATAATCATATGTTTAACTTGAATAACCAGGTCATTTATATGACACCACATTTTAGGTAACCTGACAAAACATTTTTTTTACAGTGGACTGTGGTAAGAGGGCTTGTGTGCAATACCTGCGAGCCAAGCGCGGGGTGTAAGAGTAGAAGGTGGAGAAGTAAGTAGGAGGAGGTGCAGGAGCGACAAATTCGTCAGGGTCAGGAAGATGAGTCTGCCCCTCCACTTCCTCTGGAACGGGCCTGGCCTCTTCCTGCCAAAGACGATCATAATCACACCACTATTAGAACTGGACCAGGGCAGAGCGACATCAGACACCTCTGAGCTGCTCACAACACGTCTAAACATTCTTATAATCTATACCACACACTGACCAAGAATTAAATCATCAGAATAGATTATTTTCTTGACATATTTTCCATGATATGATTTCTCACCATGCTGGGTCGTCTGGTTGAGAAGATCTGGAGATATCTGAGCGCAGCAGCAACCAGACACACAGCTGTGGCCAAAGCACTGAGTGCACACAATGCAAAGAGCACTTTCTGAAAGAGAGAAAATTCTATAACATGGTAAATAAAACTTATTCAAACATGAATATATTCCTCTCACGCCTAACATAATATACTTTATTCTGATTGGTCAGTCGTGGCATTCTGCATACAGGTGGTCGCCGGTAAATGTTCCCACAACTTCTTAATTCGTTCCCTTGTTCTAGTAAATCATGGCCACATTGTACTAATTAGTTTACTTGTTTTGATTTAGTAAAACATGGCCACAATTTACTAATTTGTGGCCACGATGAATATAATTTTGACTGCATGTCATGGGCGGGGCTTCGTGAATCAGTCCAAATTACACAAAATATTAATGACTGGCTGATTGACCAAAATCAGCATATCTGTGTCAAGGTAACCTGTCTGAGACACGGCATGTTTCTTTGAAAGTCTACAGTGAACAGTGTCTGATTTACAAAATGTGCGGTCAAATGCTGTCTGTCTGTCTATCAGCCAAGTAGTAGTGTAATAAGAATTTAATAATTATAAAAAAATGAACTCACACCTTGAGCAGAATTCTCATTGTACCACATGCATGACCTGCATAGATCTCAATCAACTTGTCCTCTTGGCACTGAGTGCTTGGAATCTCTGAACAACAGTAACAGAGATCACCCAGCTCATTCTGAAACACAGAAACACATTTATTATGTTTGTTATTAATATTAATGTCTGATGACATGGTCTACTAATACTTAAAGAACTGCCTGGATTCAAAGTATGAGACTGAGGATGAAGTTTCCAGGCACCTTTCTACATTTGTCATTTTGAGGGGTCTGGCGCTGCATGCGATAACAGCTCAAAGGTATGAGGTCACCAATATGGCAGGGACATTTCAATGACAAGTGGAAATGATGAAAGAGCAGTCTTCAGACACTGGAAATGACAGCATCCTAAAAACTACATCACATCCAAGAAAAACTGGAACCTGCTTTGACTCTCAATTTCAGGGCTCTCTTCGACTTGGACAAGCTTTATTCCTCTAAGCAGATGGTCTGTACAGTACAGATGTGCTTTTTTCCATAATGTGTTATTAAAACATACATCAACCAAGTACCACATCAGCCTGTGCACACGCTTAACTGGAAGAAGTATGTATGTATGTGTGTATTTATTAATAAGGGTTGCCCCACTTCAATTTGTGTTTGTTTAAATTTTGCATCTAGGTTCATGAATACAATTAATACATGAGTCATTTGACATTATGATGTTATTGTCTCTATTACAGCACACGTCCAAGTGCACAGATTCCTCACCAGCTGGCAGTTAATGGTACTGGAGACCAGCTGAGCCCCCTGACAGCAGAGGATGAAGCCTGCCAGGTTTAGCAAGATACAGACCACTGACAGCAATACAAACAGATTTGCCTGTGTGAGAGACACAATGAAAAGAGGTAATGGTACAGAGAAAGATCAGTACTAGTCGGTAGTAATTCTATTTGACAAATAAAATATCAGTGCTCAAATCTGTAATTAGAAAATTACCCTTATACTGCTGTTTAAAGTTTGGTTCAGTGAGATTTGTTAATGTTTTTGAAAGAAGTCTCTTATGCTCACCAAGGCTGCATTTATTTGATCAAAAATACAGGAAAAATAGTTATATTGTGAAATATTATTAGACTTTTAGGTATTAGGACCTTTTACTATTAGGTTTCATATTTTAAAAAATTTTACAATATTTTAAAATGTAATTTATTCCTGTGATGGCAAAGCTGAATTTTCTTTTCAGTCTTCAGTGTCACATGATCTTTCAGAAATCATTATAATATGCTGATTTGGTGCTCAAGAAACATTTCTTACTATTATCAATATTGAAAACAGTTGTCCTGCTTAAACATTTTATTATTATAATTTCATATTAATAGAAAGTTCAAAAGAACAACATTTATTTTGAAATAAAAATAGTTTGTAAAATTATAAATGTATTTACTGTCACTTTTGATCAATTTAAGTATTCATTATTCAAGAATATTAAGTATTTATTAAGAATAAAAAGTATTCAAGAAAAAGTATTCATTTATATATATATATATATATAT